CATATATGTGCTCGTATGCCACTGGACTCCGCCTGTTCTCATTCTCGTGTCATCAAAATATGGCAATTTTGTCAGTTATTTCAAAGTCCAACACTGGTGCAAGAAGGCACATTTCATGGTCTTATGATACGCCACCAGGGGGCATTAGTGTGTAATGTTGCTGGACAGCATCGGTTAGAAACGTAACTGGTACAAACGTTGGAATGATTCGGCACTCGGCGGCATCCGTTAGAAACACTGCCGGTAACAATGTAATATAAGAAAATATAAGGAAAGTCTCTATAGGGTAGGGTGTGGAGTAGGGGATGGCTCCCACAAATGCTAGACCTCACATGGGAGCCTCTTGTTTTCTTCCTGTGTAAATGTTGAGCCAAACCATGATTTATTTATTTTTCTAAACCTAACCCCTTGCTTTTGTTGACAATCTGGCACTAGTGATGTCCAAATGAAGCTTCATGAACCACCAGTTGTGTTTGCTAAACCCACTAGATGGCCCTCCTGGTGTAATGAAAAAGGCTCAAGGGATGGCAATGCAGTTTGATTTAACTAGCGATGGCCAAATGAAGCTTCATGAACCCTTTTCTTTATTTTCTGCAGTCTGGCACTCTTTGTTCAACAAAGGGTTGAAATCAAACTGCATTACCGTCCCTTGAGCCTTTTTCATTACACCAAGAGCGTCAACCCCACTTAAAAAAATCTGAACTATCCCTTTAATTCTATGCAGTTACAGATTAGCTTTGAATTCAGCTCAGGTGCAGCATCCTTGGGTCAAATTCAAACCACGACCAGTCCTTATCTGTTTATATGAAATCTGTGGCTAATGTGCATTGTGTAGAAGGAGGAGTGGTGTAAGTGGCTATCTTTCTATTTCAGGATTTGCTTTTAAAAAAATTGGATTACAGAGGTGACCCAGTGAGTCCTCTGACAATAATAAAAACTAAGTCTCTCTGGCACATTTGAACACAAATGTAATGCATTCTAAAAAAAAAAAAAAAAAAATACAATTTACACCAGTAAGCTGAAAAACACCTTTATCAGATTTACTTCTACTAAAACCTCCCCTATGGGTGTGGTTTGGGTGATGACATCATCAGTGACAGCTCTGTCATGCAGCATTTGTGCTAATACGGGAGGAGAAAGGTCGTATGTGTCATATCCAGAGGTCCACTGCCACAGGTTGCAGGTGGTTTTGTAATCCAGCTGAACATTTGATTTGGCTTCACCCAGGCAGCAGTGACGCTCCCTCATCAGTCTTATGAAAGTCACCCAGTCAATCTGGGCCAAGCCACTGACTGAAGCTGATATATACTTCAGAGGCGAGGAGGATACCCCCGACTGCTGAGGGTTATGATGTGGGGACAGGGAATAAATGATGACGATATCAAAGGGAGGCCTGCCTTCTGTGCAGCTCTCAGCCTGTCTCGTCCTCGGGCTCTGACTCCACTGTTCAGTCCCGCTCTAGGCCTGTTTTCACTGACACTGATGATGAGAAACATTGCTGATTTTATTCATGTTGATTCGAAATGAGCTTGACCTTGATATCACAGGGAATCCTACTGAAATTTTAAAAGCGTTAGCCTCCATTTCCAGCCTTTTATCAATATCTAGTTTTACATGCAGACTGTTGAAGGGAAAGGATATCATCTGTGGGTTATGAGTAGCCTGCGCTTATCATTGCTTTCTTGAGATCAGTTAAATTGTGTTTGTAAATTGCATACAAAGACTTCAGCTTGTTTTCATCCCCATGTGGTCAAATACAAATACATTGTCAAGCCCCTCAGCCTGTGATTGCGACGATAAAGGCAGCCTTGATGAGATGCACCTGGCTTTCAACTAGCTCCTTTGTAAAACCATCTGCGGCAATACTTCAAGCTGAGAGCGACTGACACAGTATAAAGACAAAGCCCAAGTCAGGCTGGAGGGAGGGGAGGTGGATTGGTCAAACAGTACAAGATTTTCACCCAGGAGACGAAAATTTGTGTCCCGTATGAAACCAAAAGTCAGTGTTGTTTTAGCATAACGTTACATAATTTATGTGAGGTCGCTGTTAAGTAATAAACATACTTATTTTAACACCAGGGCAGGGACAGAAGGCAGGCGGGTTTACCGCAAATAAGACGAGACGGGATCATCAGAGGCGGATAAAGTTGGCAACAGGAAATCAGAGTGCCGAAGAACAATCTGGCAAATGGTGCCTTTGAGGCTGAGATATATGTACTGGCTGCGTGTAATCGGGAACAGGTGAACTGACTTGCCTTTATGAGGTGGGTGAGGAATCAACACAAATAATTGGGTCTTGCCCAAGCAGCCGCCTACATTGCCTATAGAAAGATCCACCACTGATTATACCAAGAAAAGCAAAGGCCACTAAACTGGTTGGGAAAGATGACAGATTGACAGAGCAAAATAATGTCGTGTCCAGGTGCACCATTGAGCATCCTTATTTCTTGGAACCCCAAACAGACGTCAGTTTAGATGGCTTTAAAGGCAAGTCCAAATCGATCGCTGAATGGATGGTAATCCTGTGTGTTAGAAAAGGCTGTCCTTGCCAGGAAAAAAGCAATATGGTTGTTTGCTCGAAATTTGAAATGACCTATAAGTGACCTCTTGTCGTCGTACAAATAATGAAAAGGAAGCAGCAGGACATTGTTACAGTGCCAGAATTCTGCAACAGAAAATGACACATTACTTATGTTTGGGGTGTCAGAGACTACAGCCGTAAAATCTAGATTAAAAAAGAAGAGACCTCTGGTGATAATTCAGCTCCTGGTAAAAATCTCCTCAAGATCTGGATCCGAAATAAGGTGAGCACAAATTAGGTGAGTACACATTACCAGGCGCTGAGTTAGCAGCCTGTTACTGGTTTTAACTACCAGGTCTGTATGTTTTGGAGAAGAAAAGACCTTTGTGAATAATTTGGCTCCCGGTTAAAAACTCCTGAACGTCTGGATCTTAAATTATCTGACAAAAAAAAAAAAAAAAGATAAGCACACATTAGCAGGTGCAAGGCTAACGGTTGTCTCCAACATGCCAAAGGGCGCCGGAAAAACATCGATTTGCAGTTTGTTTTAGAGAAGAAGAGACCTATGGTGATATCTCTGCTCCCAGTTAAAATCGCCTCAAGATCTGGATCGAAAATAAGTTGAGCACAAATTAGGTGAGTACACATTACCAGGCACTGGGTTAACAGCCTGTTTCTGGTTTAAACCACCACGTCTGTATGTTTTGAAGAAGAAGAAGAGCCCTCTGTTGATAATTCTGCTCCCGGTTAAAATCTCCTCAAGATCTGGATCCGAAATAAGATGACCACAAGTTAAGTTATCAAACAAAAAAAGGTGAATATACATTATCAGGGGCTGGGTTAACAGCCTGTTATTGGTTTTAACCACCGGATTTGTATGTTTTGGAGAAGAAGAGACCTGTGGTGAAAATTCGGCTCCCGGTTAAAATCTCCTCAAGATCTGGATATGAAATAAGGTGAGCACAGATTAGGTGATTACACATTACCAGGTGCTGGGTTAGCAGTCTGTTACTGGTTTTAACCACCAGGTCTGTATGTTTTGGAGAGGAAGAGACCTCTGTGGATAATTTGGCTCCTGGTAAAAATCGACTCAAGATCTGGATCCAAAATAAGGTGAGCACAAATTAGGTGAGTACACATTACCAGATGCTGGGTTGACAGCCTGTTGCTGGTTTAAACCACCAGGTCTGTATGTTTTGGAGGGGAAGAGACCTCTGTGGATAATTCGGCTCCCGGTTAAAATCTCCTCAAGATCTGGATACGAAATAAGGTGAGCACAAATTAGGTGAATACACATTACCAGGTGCTGGGTTAACAGACTGTTACTGGTTTTAACTACCAGATCTGTATGTTTTGGAGAAGAAGAGACCTATGGTGAAAATTTGGCTCCCTGTAAAAATCACCTCAAGATCTGGATCCGAAATAAGGTGACCATAAGTTAAGTAATCAAAGGAAAAAAGGCGCTGGGTTAACAGCCTGTTACTGGTTTTAACCACGAGATTTGTATGTTTTGGAGAAGAAGAGACCTATGGTGAAAATTCGGCTCCCGGTTAAAATCTCCTCAAGATCTGGATCAGAAATAAGGTGAGCACAAATTAGGTGCATACACATTACCAGGTGCTGGGTTAGCAGACTGTTACTGGTTTTAACTACCAGATCTGTATGTTTTGGAGGGGAAGAGACCTCTGTGGATAATTTGGCTCCTGGTAAAAACTGCCTCGAGATCTGGATCCATAATAAGGTGAGCACAAATTAGGTGAGTACACATTACCAGATGCTGGGTTGACAGCCTGTTACTGGTTTAACAAGCGAGTCTATATGTTTTGTAAAGGAAAAGATCTGTGTGGATAATTCAGCTCCCGGTTAAAACCTCCTTAACAATGAACACTGAAGGAATTCTAACCAGGAGACGTTTCAGCTGACTGTAATCTCCTTAATGCACCTTTAAATGAGGTTGATTGAAAATATACTTACATATTATTAATATTTGTTTATTTATGTTTTTATTTATATAAAATAAAATGACAACAAAAACATTTTGTGGGACAGTGATGGGCGATTGGGGTCCATAGTTCTTTTTGCCCCAGGACTCCTTCTGTCTGTAATTTTTACATGACCCAGACTTCAGTATTGTGCCGTATACCAACATGATAACTATTCTCTCCATCACAGTGAAGTAAGTATTCCTTATGTTTCTGTAGTGTCGCTCTAAACACCTATGGGCACTCCAGGACCTCGAGCTGAGGAGCAGCCGTTTCCATGTTCCATGCTCCATGCCAGAGCTGCCACAACACAGCGGCTGGTTAAGGGTGATTGAGAGAATGCGGCAATCTATTGGCTGCAGGCTTAGTAAATTTCAGGCGGTGTAGTCCAATGGCAAGCTAGGAAGAGAGAGACAGAGGGAGAGAGGGAGAGAGAGAGACCTGGTTTCTCTTAACACTAATCTTGTCCTCGCAATACACTCGCTCTATGAGAGCAATTAGATTCAGCACCGTTTCCAGTGCCTCTGCAATGACTCATTGAAACATCTTCTGTGCTGATAAAGCCGCATCTCTATTCTCCCCCACACACACACACACACACACTCACACGCACGCACGCACACATTCACAGGACGTATAGCCGGGCTGCCTTCTACATCGGGACTGCGCTTCTTACTTTGGATTTGCAGAGCAGCAGGCTGGACGTGGACTTAATTGTATTTTTTTTTCTTCCTATGTGGTGTGTGTTTCGCCTGAAGTCGGGACTTATATAAAAGAGACGGTGGAGATACAGGCTGAGGTAAGTGTGCTGATGCTGAGCCTTACAGATTTTCCTTCCAGCAGGAAAACAGACTAAATTTACAGACCAGCGGCTGGATTTCTGTGCGTTTTCAGGCGCTGAACCCCCCTCCTTCTCCTCCTTCTCCTCCTCCTCCTCATCTGACGGCTTGTCCGGACGCGCTTCAGTCATAATCCACAGGGAATGCAACCACAGACATTAACTGCGAACCTTACTAGTTTAGAAAAACCACAACTTCTCAGAAAAAATGCAAAGAAACAGGCGGAATATGGAGGTTTGAGCCACACACCTCCGCAGCAGCAGAGGCTGATTCTTGCGCACTTGCATCCGACTCCAGTTTGCTCATTTGGACATGTTGATGAGGGACTGTATGATTGCAACCAGCCAGTGGGGAGGATGCTGATCACACGCAGGCACATCACTAATAATCACGCTTTTTATTAACTGTGCAAACCGACTGTATCAATGCAGACACACGGGCTTGCAGTGGTGCTTTAACCAAACTCGGTGCCAAAGCAACAGCTCGGTTAACTTTAACGCGGCCGCACGGACAAGACAGGCGGCTGTGATGTGACAGCACCAAGCGCCTCTTCCTCAAGATGGCAAATCGTTTAAACCCATTTCACACCTGCGTTTTCTTTCTTTTTTTTTTTTTAACCCCTCAACTCTTGTGTGTGTGTGTGTGTGTGTTTGTGTGTGAACGCGGTGCAGCAGCAGAGTCAGGCATCTTCCAGCATCCCTCATGCGCGCATCGCTATCCAAGCAGCCACAAGATGGTGGTGTAGATATCTGGATGTGGATTTTGAGGGAAAAGGGAAAAAAGGGGGGTGGATGAGGAGGAGGTGGTGGGGGGGGGAGTGGGGGTTTGTGCCTTGCATGAATTTTTACAGCTACACTGCTGCTAATGCTGTGATTTTCAGCTTGTGTTCACACTGGGTGGCATTCACGCGGGGCCCTGCCAGAGAGGTGCGTGGACTGCAGCTTCACACAGGCTGCTAGTTTCACATGGGATGACCTTGTGTGTGTGTAGCAGGTGTGTGTGTTATCATGCACATACCTGCTCCAGGATGAAATGCCCAGATTGGCTTTTAGAGCCATCTTTTACTCGAAAATACAAGATTGGAGTTGTTGTAATGCTACTGTGTGTGTGTGTTTGGAAAAGGTGTAGGTGTCTCTTTTGCATCTCAGACCTGCTCAGGTCTGCACCGCTTTTGTGGGAGGGGTTATAACTGATACAAAATGAATCTTTAATGGAATATATTCCTAAAAAGCTTCGTTTGGCCGTCCAATGCAGCTCAGCTTTCTGGTTGCCTTCCTTCCTTCACTGTCTTTAGCAGAGGGGGAAATGGCCAGGCAGGTGTAAGATTCACACCAGTTAAAGATTACGGTAACTCTCCCTGAGCTGTTGTCTGACAGTGATTGAGAGAGCCGTACACGTCCAGCTTCTCGGAATCTGCATGTTAACGTCGAAAAACATTTTCCCGCAGTTCCAATCAAACAGTCAGTTGTGTTCCTCTCCCGGCTCCCGCCTTTGCCCACTTTCAGCAGGCTGCACAGCTCGTCCAGGATGAAAGTCATTTAAAACGGAAGTCAAACACTCACAACACGTACACCCAGTAATCCACTGCTCCTGCATGTTCCGGATAATATTGAGGATTCCACGAACATGTCAGGGGACCAAAGCAGGAAATTGGTTTTATTGTTTTGTCGGAGAGTAATCTTTGGTGGGAGCGGGTGCCTTTAAATATGCACTCGTGGTTTCACCTTAAATCTTATTTTATTTCTAATTCCACTGCCTTTTTATAATGACGAAGGGAAGTCAGTTAGGGTAAAAATAAAAACTGCAGGCCTTCCAACATATGGTACATCAACATGAGAGGTCAGTGATGACGCTGAGCAGGAGGCTGGACCACATGTGCTGTATTTGGAGAGGGTTTAGCTGTGTTAGGTGAACATTTGTTTTTAAGAGAATGTGTCAGTAGTATTTTTTATGAAATGACTTGCATGTGAATGGCAAACAAACACCCAAACCTGGCCCGCCAAAGGGTCCAATCCAGCCCAGTGGATGACTTTGTACAACTAACTGACGCTCCTGTGGAAGCTAAGAGGCGCCAGGTTTCAGGATCAAGTACTTACTTCAGGTCAAATGTTGCCTCACGAGACATGTTTCCCTTTTATCCAATTGCTGCGAAATGATTAGCAATGCTGCTATATAACAATCTCCTCGTACACGATTAACTCGCTATCTCTTCTTTAAGCCAAGTCGGAGACGAGCGAGGATTATAAATTGAACACCCCCAGATAAGGGTGCGCCAATCGACCTCCAAAATCGTTATCAGCCATTCTAAGTAGTCTGAAAGCTGATCAGAAGATGACGCAAAACACAAGGCGCTATTTCTCTAGCTTCACTAGCTTCTGACAAACTGTAGCTCACTGATAAACTGACGTCCAGCTCAACTTCCTGTACCCGGTGTAGACACGCTGTCTTTCTCACACCTCTTTGAACACTTTTGTAGAGGCTGCAATATGCCAAAAAGTCTGCTGTTTGTAGTTTTACCTTCCAGCAACTTCATCCTCAACTCCATTAATCCACCAGCAACCTTCGTCTCCCTGGCCATCATCACACTGGCTGGATAATGGAGGTCAATGAGGCATTCTCGGAGCTTTGCGAAGCTTACTATTAGCCAGAGTCATCGTTTGGTTTTGTTTTTATTGGTCAAATTTCGTATTATTCTCAAATTGATTATTTTGACGAACTATTTTTATTTGGTGGAATACGTGTGGTGCCGATGAGTTAACAGCCTAATCAGCACGTTGCGTCGTCTCCTGGTGTTATATTGGCACACCTGGAGATTTACAGGGAAGTATCCAGGCTCCTTTGTCCTTCTCTGACAACTTATTATTTAACCCAAATGTCATTTGTGGTAATATGTTTCATTTTGCGGTGCAAAGTTTATTACGACAACCCACAATGTCAGCTGATTAATGATTAATCAATGGCTCAGAGCTCCTGTAAAGCGGAGTGATACATGCAGAGATAGTAGTCCCAGTCCTGTCCAATCAAAATGCTCAGCTGGAATTAACTGTTTAATATATCAGAATTGTATTGATGGAAGAAAGGGACTAATTTGGAGGTGTTGGTATTTATAGATTATTTTGTTATGGTGTTACTGGTCCGGCCCACTTGAGATCAAACTGAGCTGTATGTGGCCCATGAAGTACAATTAGTTTGACATCCCTACTTTAGGACCTCCTCTAGTGTGACGTCAGGGCAAACATGAAGCATAGCACAAGCCTAAAGTTTGCGGGTGTGTTGGCAAACGGCATGGTAGCTCCTTTAAGTTATGTTTTCAGATTTGGAAGGATATAAATGCACCAGTTAGGTTTTCTTTTATCTTGTTTTAAGGTCTGAAGGCAGTAGAGAGCAACTATGTGTTGCACAATGCACAGCACATGTAGACAGTAGTTAGTAGTAATCACATTGATTACCTGTGAGCTTTTGTTCTGTGTGTTGTTCTGTATTTCTTTTGATTCAAAAACAAGCACAAACCAACTATTAATGAGACAACTGCACACCATTTTTGTCGTCAACAATTTTTCATTTTTCACCATTCTCTCTAGAATATTACACACTTACTGATGTCATCATGGATCACACCAACGCTTGTTTGGTGACTTCTGGCGTCGGACAGCAACTAAAAAAGACGTTCTTTCACGTCAACCTGATACGCGGCTAAAAGGGTAAAGTTAAGGGAGCAGAAGTCCCAGTAAGGTGGGCAGAAGGAATGATGGATGGGTCCAACAACCACCAACTATCACACAGGAGGCCGGTGTTCGCTCCCTTTAAGATTGTAAAGCCAAACCCAACCACGTGCTTTTGTCGCTTAAACCCAACCATGTGTGTGTGTGTAGGCAAAACGTAGCCACATGCATTTGTTGTCGAATAGAAAAAAACGTCATGGTGTTGTACCAACATAGTGCCTTTATTTTGAAAGAGACTGTACGCAAACTGTACATTTCCTGTAAAAGTAGAAGAGTGTAGCAAGTGCTGACAATTTTTTTTTAGTTTGGGAGTAGTGTAATCAGAAGGGGTTCGAAGAAGAAGGAAAGCTGGAGTGATGAACAAAACTCAGTGAAACTCAGGAGACGTTAGATACAAATAAACCAGGTACTTTGTATTTAAAGTAAATAAGGAAAAGAACACAAACAACAAAAGTGGCCATAGGAGTTTTCTCAACTGTTCAATATGTACTCAGTACAATATTCGATGTTATTAGACGGGTAATAGTCAGTCAAAAATTAAGGGAATGGAAAACAAAGATTGGGCTGGGGTGTGTGTGTGTGTATATGAGATGAGGGGACAATGGATGAGTAGATGAGGTGAATAAGGCTGGCTGGTGTCCTGCCACACCGCCGGAGGTGATTACAGCAGGTTCTTCGACGGTCCGTTTCAATAGCTCGCCATCACAGTTCACAGTTGCTTTTCACAGCACAAAAAACCTGGCCTGTATGAACACAAAACCAGCTGTAATACTCATGGCTTAGTTTTAGATTAAACAAAAATATAATTCACAGTGCACATTTGATTTTTCCGCAGCTGTGCTCTCAAACTCCCAACAATAATTAATTATTAAACTATTAAAGTGCAAACTGTCACTAAAAGTGAACAGAAATAAATAATACATTCAATATGAGTTAACCGCTATCATGTTTGAGGGTATCAATTTACTTCAAGTTGTGGGTAACACATCCGGTCCTGCAAGCTAACATTAGCCACTAGGCTAATTGAGCTAACAACAACAACCACCCAAAGTCACATTAAACATAATACACATAGCGGCACATAGTGACACAACATTAAACAATATCCAAGCGTGGGCAACACACAATCAGAGCAGCGCAGGTAATACCTCTTACTAATACAAAGTGAGGCGATTAGCAACATGCTAACAACGTTAGCACACTCACCAGGGAGTTCACTTCTCTCCCTCGGGCTCAAC